GTCTCACTCGTATGGTAATGTATTCACCAGCTCTTGGGGTCCGCACGGTGGAATACTCGACACGTGGAACTCGACACTGTATGACTCGTCGATCACGTTCAATCGTGGGCACTGTAAAAACTCCGGCACTAGAAACCACGTCGATCACTGTTAATCCTCGACTCGATACCCTCAACTCGGGAATCCTCGATACGGATAAGAATCGACCCCGAATCCTCAGTACGGAATTAATCGTGCCGCACTCCTTTACACGGGAGAAACCGATACGCGGAACTCCTCGGTGTATAAACTCCGAAACAGGAATGGTTGATACGAAATCCTCTATCACGGAAACAGTCGATACGCGGAACACCTCTATCCGCGGAAACCTCTAAACGGAATAATCGTCTTTACGAAATCGTCCTTCACCTCGGTCGTCGCGAGGTGGGAATCGCGAGGTATCTCTATCTCGCTCGCACTTAGGTGACACGTCACGCGCATGTCGTCGTACTCCGTCGCGCTCTGCTCGATTCGAACTTTTTCCGGTCGCGGAATCTAAACATCGCGACCGTTAAAACGACCGAGTTGGCAAGAAACTCGGCACGTGTAACTATGTTTTTATATTATCGCGGTGACTTTCTCGGAACCTCAATACAGTTGCGATATTATTATTATTTCGGACGATTACAATTAAATCGGAGAGGCGATTTGGAAATTAACTTATTCCATTTTTAAAGAAAATTCATACCTTGTGACACTTTACTTTTTATTTCAGTTTTTAATTCTTCATACACATTGGAAATTATTGTGCGGGCAAACGTGCTTCTGCTGGGATTTCGAAATTTGGCTCCGTAACTTGCATGAGTTCACGAAATCCAATGTCGGTCACGATGCTATACGGTTGTAAATTTTTTTTTCTTTTTTTGACGCGGGGAAATCTCCACAGTGTGTCGATCTCAGTTGAGAACGACCCAGGGGTAGTGCCGGATTCGAACCTGCTAAAACCCCGCGATGACCCTATGAAGGCGCATCGGGGAGGATTCGGGACCCCTTTCGGATTGCTCCGAATCCTTCCCGCGTTTTTTTCCTAAGAAAAACTCTTGTTGACTACTCAAACCCAAAATGGGGAGGTGTATTCCTATTTTTTTTTTTTGTTTCCTCAAACCGTTGGGGAGGTGTTCAATATCCATTAGACTTCGAACAGGATCATTTGCTCGAAGTTATCATTCCTCGGTTATCCATGTATGGATGTACTTGGATTCGTTCCTTTTTTTTTCCTTTCGCGTACATTTAGTACGTCGCGTCCTTATTC